CATGAAAACATGTTATATGGGAGAAATATAATTCGGGTGTAAGATATAAAAATATTGATTTTTTAAAATGATGTTATTTTTTAAATTAGAAAGCATAAAAAAAAAGAATATGTTGGGAGATAATTAATTTTGGCATTTAACATTTTTCATATTGCGGGCATATGGACTAGGATATTAGCTAGAATTAAGTATATTCATGATCTCTCATCTGATATAGAATCTAATATATTTGAATGTTATAAGTTATATATGATGCACGTTTTTAATGATGAGGATTTTAAGGCTTACAAAGGTTTTTTGATTAACATGAAGTCGAATAAAGTTTGTGTACCCTATATGTTACAAGGTGCAATGAGTTGAGTTACTTTGTTTTATTTTTATCTAAGCTAGAGCATCATGTTTTAAAGAGGAAATAAAATATCTAACTTAATAGGCTTAAGAAATAATTTCAAATAAAGTCAAGCACAAGTTAATTATACATTTTTAGGAGATGATCAAGTGAATTGATCTTATGTTATGCATTAAAGCACAATGTTAGGTTGTATCATTGCAACAATCAGACACTAGAGGTAAGAAAATTTAGTGATAGGTGGACATTTGATGTTAATGGATATATCTTGGTAAACAACACTAGTAATTTAGAGATCACTTGTAGGTGTTCAGTTCATACATCATCTAAGCTTTATAAGATTACACGGTGCTTGACCCTTTTAGACATTAAGAGCTTTAAGTTCGGCTATGAGAAGAGGAACCACATATAATTTTATTTCGAGAATTACTAAAGTTGACATAATATACATTACATAGAATTAGAATAACCACTGCAAGGATAAATTTTCTAAGAGTAATATATTCCATATTGGATTTAAGAGATCAAACAATTGGCATGCAAGATGAAGGAGAAACCACATCAATCAATTTTCAGGCAGAGCAAGAACATGGCTTAGCTTCATGAGTGTATATTGGGCCAAATGCATTAAGAAATTCTCAGTTTCCATTAGAACCTGATTAATATGCCCTATTTCATGTTGCCATGAGCATAATGATTATTTGTCTTAATTTGCATGACATAGGCTCCCTTGGCTTATAAGAGAGGTCTAACAATTAAAAACAAGGTAGATTCCTTAATCAACTTGCAAGTGTAACCTATCAGCTTGGTTAGGATTTTTCTTTCCTAGCCAAATGTAAAGTAGAAATCTCACTATTGTTTACCTATTGAGGAATATAGTCGGAGGACTTCAGTTCATAGCAACAATTAAAGTTGTGGTCAACATCAACTTTAAAAAAAAGGATACTCTGAGGCTACAGATTGCCTAAGACATCAAATGCTTTAGCTAAAATAACTCAAACTTTTGAAATTTAAAAGATTGCATGTGCTCCAACCAATGTGTAGAATGTTCAACTAATGGGTTCGAGAATGCCGGGTCGGCTAATCGGGCGTCCTTGTCTATAGGGCAGGTTTGTAAGTCCCACCCAACCAATTCAATCCTTTTCCTGGCAATAATTGGAGTTGATGAGTCTTGTAGTTTTAAAATAAACGTCTAAATCTAAAATAGGAATTTACAAGTCTAAATCACCCCTCTAGTCCGATTCTCCTACATATAAGAATATGAGTTGATAGAACTTATATTTTGAAAAGCTTAAACTAACAAAACTAAATGTCTCCCCTTTAAATATAAAATCTTTAAAATGTTCAAGTCTCCGATTATGACCGTGTAGATTGAAGATTTCAACCGTAGGGGTTAATCTTTAAAATCAAGCTTTTCGAAGTAACTAACCAAATATTTAAGCTAAAATTTAATCGCCTAAAATCTAAAAGTGAATTTCATACACCATCCGCAACAGTTTGTCAATGGTGACAATCTTCTGATTAACTTCGACTCTCAAAGAACAAATTTCACATCAAATGTATCAATATATTTACAATTAAAGTTATTGCATGCCAGTAAGGACGTGGCACGAGTTCACCGTCCCCGTGGTTTTGCCGCCAAATAACACCGCAAAATAGCAGTTACGACCAAATCCCTCTAACCGGGTTGCTGTCAAATGACACCATTATATTACGGTAATGACCGCAACCCATATATCCCCCAATGACTTTCTACCATTTGAGTTGTGAATCTTAAGGGTACAATTAATTGACACAAAACTTACTATTAGCTAAGTTTGATTTAAATATATCCCCATAGACAAACATCCACCCCAGATCTATAAGGATACCTTGGACGACATAGCCCATGACTGTTGACAAGGATCCTTTTGTCAGGTTGGGTCGACACCTTCTTTGACTAAGTTGATCAAAGATCGTGACGACTTGGGATGACGATACCATGGGATCTTGATCGAGTCCGTCTTCATTCCCCCACAATCCGCTTTAAGCTTCAAGTGGTGAATTCTGCAATTTAAATTCTAAATCTATATGTTCAACTTTTAATATTTAATGACTAGCCTTAATCAAGAGTGTTCTTCCGTTATCGGAATGAGTAATTAATCATAGGGACTTGCGCCAATGTAAACCTTGAACCCAGGGTAGTGTCTTGTCTACAATCTAATCCGTCTTCTGAAAATTCGACCCTCCTAAGCTCCGTCTCTCAAAATAAAATAAAAATAAACGCAGAGAGTTGCCTTGGGGAGTGTTCGTAAATTTTTGGAGCCCACACAAACAACCTATGAGCATCTTCATAAGTTTTCATTAGAAAAGATCACGTCTTAGTTTGTCCCAAGTCCAAAATTCTCCAAGACATCAAACTTTTTGATCTTAACCTTAATGCCGTCAACCACCATATTAGGCTCTGATGGTAGTTTGCTATAATGAGACATTTAATTTGATGTGAAAGCAACTCTAAGAGTGAAATATGATGAGCCACTAAGAAATATAAGAGATCAAACTAAAAAAAAATATTAAGATTTTTTTACTAGCCTAAATAAAGCTTATGACCAAAGGAGAGGAGAGATTATTGAATCTACCGAATAAGAAGCCATAAATGGTGCATAATAATAGAACATTCATGTCGATTTCTAATGCCTGAGTAGGTCTAATTCGTAATAAAGAAGCAGCTCAAGAAATTCTCAAAATATTTCATCTCATATCATGATATTGGCCTCCAAAATACCACTGGGTAAAACCATACTTGCTACTTTTTATCTATTTTGAAATTGCCCTCTATCACCCTTAACTGCTAAAGAACTTAGAGATTTCTTCTTCTACATGTGTAAGTAAAAAAAATTCATAATCAGGAGGATAAGTTATAATAATATACCAATTGAGGATTCTATCTTGTGTCATCAAGTATCACCTTTTATAAATCAGAGATTCTATGACAGGCAAATCAACTCATGGTTCTGATTTCTGTGCCTAGAGGAAAGAGAGCGGGCGAACTGAAGGCTTATATACAATATGAAGTCCTTGGCTCAAATGATCCAAAGCTTGCATGCATACCTAGGTTGCATCCTTGCTCTCCATGAAAATTGAGAGGGTTGATGTTGTGATCCAATCATTCATGCGATAGTCACTTGTTCTCTCATTCCTCTAAGAAATATTTTGCGGATATCCTAGCAATTTGATCATATATAATGATTTTTAAAATTTCGTGCTGTTCTTATTTCAAATTTACCTTTTCTATTTTTTAGTAGATATCTCACCAAGTAGAAATATAGATATCTGAAAAGCTTAAGGCAAAGCACTCCGGTTTGTATATTAATCAATAAATAAAGATATAAACTTCATGCTAATTCTTGATGGTGTACTATTATTATTGAAAATTTTTATGTCACTGCTAAACTAATTATAATATTAGAAAGTGCTCCAATATAATTCTTTTAATAACTTAACAATAGCATTGTGCACACTTGTTTTTTTTAATGCATATAAAACCAATTTTCATGATGCATGATCATGTTCTTTTTATGATCAATAAAAATATTTGAACATCTTTTATATACTCTCTATAAGTATACATCAAGTACTATAAGTCTGGACGTTCTTAATTATGCCAAACCTGATCCGGGTTCCGTTAGGAATACAATGGTCAAAATTTGGGAGAATCTAAGTTTAGATCAATATTGATGCAAATTTCAATCATTTACTAGTAATTTTAATGTTAAGAATGTTTCAAATTTCAATCTAACTATGACATTTGATTTTGGAATGTAAATATTTTGTCTTTTATCCTCAAGCTATTAGATCTCTTATTTCTCAGCATCCTCCGAATGCAGCAGTATTTTATAGAACTAAGCTCTATGCCATGTGTAACCTACATATTTTTCTTTCGGTTAACAAATGTTCACCAAAACTCTAATGCAGTGTATACTTTCTTCAATTTAAAGCAAGTTCTGCCATATACGATGAATACATCTGTAAAGAAAGGATGAATAATAATTTCAAAACCAGATTTCTTTGGTGTTTAAAGTACACGAACTAACTATTATTGGTAGAGATGCAGCCACAATTGCTAAGAAAGAGAGAAATATTCTATTTGGGAAAAAATATTTTAAATGCAGCTACAATTGCTAAATTTGTGAGAAATATACTACTTTGGATCCCGGGGTGTGACAAAAGGAGAAGTTAAATTTTTAAAAATGCTGGCAGCATGGCTGAAAGAAGGTAGTTCAATTTGGCATATGATTTTATGAAATATACCGCGCATCCATCTACTTTTGATATTATTATCTTGAGAAACTATCCATCACGTCGAGTCAAGTAAATAATAAAATTGGGAGGGAGTAGGACAATAAAGAGACAAAAGCCATAACAACAATATATGACGTGGATGGCATATAAGCATGATTCATTGACCATACAGAATTTAATGATGCTTAAAAAAAACAAAATCAGATTTTCATATGTTTGTCTGCGTGTGCACTTGTCGCATACGGTGCCTGATTGTAACTTAGTAGTTTATTGCCATTTTCATTCTGAAATTATCTCAATTTCTATTTCAATTTATTTTGTTCCACAGTCTTGTTTTAATTTGCATAGTTTCTTACTACAATGCATCTAGGTACTGTCTATGGCCGGCTGACTGGTTTTGGAAGAAACACTCTGAAAACAGATATTATTCATTTCTATGAGGGATGTAATCTGTCTACATCGGATGTGAAGTTTGAATACAACAATTCATTTAACCCAATTTCAATGTTCGTACGTATACCATCCTATTTCGCACTCAATCCGTTATATTTTTTATATCAATTTGTCATTAGTTCACATTGGTCCTACCTCATCTAGTTATTTTGAATGTTGTCACTATACACTAAGAATATGTGAAGCAAGTCATTTTAGTTACAATTTTTTGCAAGATTATTTCTAAACATTGCTGCAAATAGAGCGGCTTGGAATGCAAATAGTCTGTCATGGTGCACATATGAACCTCATAAATTATCATGGTGATTTTTTTTAGGAAAATTTTTTACATTCCTAGCATACAATTCTTGTTTATTTACATATCTCACACCTAAACTTTCATATTTTCATATATAGCTTTTTGATACTTTAAACCTATGTATGAAAGGGTGTGTTTTACTTTAAAAAAAAATGGTAATAGTGAAGAGAGAGAGAGAGAGAGAGAGAGAGAGAGAGAGAGAGAGAGAGAGAGAGAGAGAGAGAGAGAGAGAGAGAGAGAGAGAGAGAGAGAGAGAGAGAGAGAGAGAGAGATAAGATTTGTGTGCTATGTATGTAAATGGCCCGACTTCTTATGGTTTCCCTCGTGTTGGATATGCATTAAGTGGCTCATCCAACACAAGCGTGTCTCCAAACCCATGAAAAAAGCATATGGAGTGTAACTTTGCTAGCTCATGCATGAGCAGAATTTATTCTGCTTGTCACTGCTATGCCCTTGCATTTAAGTTTCCTTCAAGTGAATTGCAGTTTTGTGAATTTTTATCTTGAACCCAGTTTATAGTCAAAGTGGCTGAAGAAAATTAATCTTTTTTAGACGAGTAAGGATTATTTGAATTCGATCAGCTTTCTTTTTTTTTCTTATTCAAAGAAGTTTTTAATTAAAAAATGCCAATCATGTTTTAATGTCATGATTTTTGAAAGCAAAATGAGTGGTTTCATAAAATTCTGAAAACATCTGAGGCTGTTTTCACTTGCTTTAGAAACAACCTTAAAACCATATTCTGATTAATTACACTAACAAGGCTAACTAGAGATTATTAGGAATTTAATATTATAGTTAAGATATTTAAAGTTTATTTTAGTGAAATCTAATTCACCCTGGCTTTTGTAGTCCGCAATGAAGCCATACACATATCAAGCCAATTATAAATATTACAGGGATGCCTAGCAAACTCTTCCATCCAAATTCTTTATAACATTGATGGATAGTATTTTATTTTTACATAGAATAAACTTTGCTCCTCTTGGGAGCTCTTAATCCTCTTTGCATGGAGGGATTCTTTTCAGTCTCTTTACATAATCTAATAACTCAGATCATTAATGCAACCGGCTTCTTGTATTTTCTCTCTTAGACTATGATTATAACACTTCTATCTGGATATATGCACAGCCAGTTTGTAGGACATTTTTCCCTCTTTCGGTTGCCAATTAATGCTCAATGCCTCAATTTTGGTGCTTGAAGCTGTAATCGCAATGCATATCTCTTGAAACCTACTTTTAGCCACGTGGCGTACAAGTCCGTTGAATTAAGGCTTGCACAATGGACATAGTTCTATGGGTCAAATTACTTCGACTCCTGTGCATGCATTTTTCTATTTTTCTACTGATTTCGGTTTGCTCTTGCTTTTCCATACTTTTTGTATATCTTAGACTAAAAAATTTTCTTTTTTTCTTGAACTACATAACATTTTTCCATTCAGGTTTTGTTATCAAAATATTTTCACAGTTTAGCTAATGATTAATTATTTAATATAGATTATTGTTTTCAGGATTATTGATGTTTTAATAGTATTCATTATTTTTTTCTGGTATATGTATGTATGTATGTATGCATATCTATCTATCTATCTATCTATATATATATATATAACAGTAACTAACTTTGAGGCTATTAATTAATTAATAATTATGATTATTGCTTGGATTAATTAATGATTTGCTAACTCTTATATGAGATTAATCATATATTTAAACTAAGGCTTGCCCAAGGTTGATTATTAGCTGTGTCTCTTCATAATAGGGAGAAATTGCCAATTTTTTTTAAACGAATTGTAAATTTTGGTACTAAATGAATCAATTTGAAATCCTTCTGTTTTCATCTAGAGAATAATATGGAGATTGAAGTACTTGGACTGTTTATTTCAATCAACCTTCTTGCATTTTCTTAGTTCTTTGTGTATTGCTTAGCTGGATGCTTCTGTATTTATTATTAATAAATGTTAAAAATTGGGTATTTTTGTTGTCAAAGGTGTCAATCAATTAAATATCAATAATGTAATACAAATTATGCACTATGGGAGGTTACGGGTCTTGCATAAAATTTCATTTTCAAAGAAATGCTTTAGGTTATTTTCTTATATTGTTTGAGGTGTGTAAACTTCTCTTTTTGTTATAATTTAGGTTGTTGCAGTTTCCTTCACAATCTTCCTATGACGCAGCTTTGAGACAAACTACGAGAAAGGGTCGCTTGTACAAGTTAGATAAGGTGAGTTTTCTGAGTTCTTTGCTAATCTTTTGTAATTATTCCTCTCAAAAAATTTATCGATTGTGAATCATTTGGATTTTGAAATTTTGTCAAAGAGTTTTATGCTTGAGATATTATTTTTCATGTTTATTTCTAACAGATAAATTCTGGCCAGTGGGACATCACTGAATCGCATGATGGTAGAACGGTTAGTGTTGATTTGAAATTATCAATGACATTGTAGCTTTGAAATTTTGATTATGGGATAATTTTGTTTGTTATTTGCTTGTTTTATTTAGAATTATAATTATTAAATAAAGTTGATGGATGTGTTTTTAATGTTCTATGTATCTATTTGCTTGTTTTTTGGGCCCACAAATATTGGTATGCAGGGCATGAAGCGTTATTTCTCTTTTTTTTTCTCTTAGAAGCTGTCCATCATAGGACCTTATCAAAATTGCATTCATAAAGTCCTAATTTATGCATGTCATCTTTGTGTGGGGGCCATGCGACTCTTCTCTATTTTGTTTCCTTTTTATCCGATGTCTCCAAAATGAAAATTCTTCAAAGACATTTGATAAATTTTGAATGATACAAGAAGATGAGCATGGACATTACACAAGGATGATGTGCTTATATATAGAAATGGTAAATTTTCTTAACTACATTGTTTAGCTCAATTATGTTGTGTTGTCCGCTTTGGTTCAACCCATCTCATACTAGTTTTTGTTTTACCTTCTTGGTGCAACTTATTTGGAGTTCAACCAATCCTAACAGTGCTCCATCAAGAGCATGTTTAACTGTGGACATTTTGATGAAACTCCATCCTTTACACCAAAATATGTCTTATGTAGTTAGATCGAAATTTTTACTTATGAACTTGATAAAAGTTACTCTCTTATTGGTGCGGAAGTTCCTTTATTCTTACCCAGGAGTTACTCCTTATTCACGCTTTTATCCCTGCAATTACTTTACCACCACTTTGTATCGTTCCTATTTAAATTGGAGATGGCACATACCCATCAACTTTCACTTAGTTTGTCCCCGAATTACATGTGCTAGATGTCTATCTCTAACACCAATTGCAGCAACAAATACTTAATGATGCTTAAGCTGCACATTACATTTCATGGTAATCTGCCCTTATTTTTTGAGGTAGAAATTTCTAATCTAATGTCTTCTTTTACCTATTTTTATTAGGCGTCTGGGTTTGAATATAATTTACTGATTCATGTGGGATCTTTGTTTGACTGGTGATTTTACTCTTGGATTTCTAGATATTCTTCATATATTTATCAACTACTCTTAGAAATAGATTGGGGCATTTACATACATAGCACTCAATTCTTATGGATTTAACTCAATTCTTTTGTATCACATAAAAAATAGCACTAATTATCACTTTTAAATAGTCAAATCCACCTTTCATGCATAGGTAAAATGCTATGCGTGTAAATATGAAAGTTTTGGAGTGACATAGTAAATTCACAAGAATTGCGTGCTATTTATGTAAATTTCCCAAATAGATTACCTATTGATCTTTTTTTTAGCGCTCAAATTATGTGAATGGCCTACCAAGTGTATGGTGAACTTTTCTCTATTTTTTTATCTTGTATGGAACCTTCTATTATCTAGTGCCACTTGGTGGATAAAGTGTTGTTTTTGTTGTTACAATAATTGTTTAGTATGTTCTTTGTTATTAAAAATAATTGGTTTAGGTTGTTAAGTAAAACTGAACCAGTTTTTAAAATTAAAATCTCTGATGGCATAATTCAATAATTAATCCATGTTTGGGACTATCCCGCACAGGTTCTAATTCAGGGGATTCCCAGCAACGCCGTTCGAGAAGACATTGAGCGCTTTCTATCTGGTTGTAATTTTGATCCCAAATCCTTCAGATTCATCTCCAGGTAAGCTCTTATAGTTTCCAGCAGTGCAAAGATATTCTTCATCAATTTCTAATTCTCGCCGAAAAATATAAAAATTTTGTCCAAATTAATATATATTTTGGGGTATTTACACATATACACATCGCATTTCTTATATATTTACACATCTAACACCCAGGGGCTTGTTTCGGATCACTTTTGTTTTTTATTTATTTTTGCTTTTATTTTAAAAGTTTATTTGTTTAGTGTATTTTTTGGATGTTTGCCTATAATGAAATTACTTATTTTTAAAAATACTTTGTGTTTTTAAAAGCATTTAATTACACATCAAATATGTTTCTTTCAAGTAAATACATATACAAAAAAAAATTAAAAAAAAAGATAAAAATGATCCCAAACGGACTCTAAATTTTCATTTTGGAGTTTTTACTTACCAACCATCAAAACTTTGAATATATTATTATTAAAAATAACTTTTCATATAAGAATTTATGACACTAAAGTGATTGTTGGCATCAATTTTTGGATATCATAGGTGTAGGTGTCCACATGTGATCGACGAAAATTAGTTATCGCGCGACATGCACGAATTTGACTCAAATTGACCGGAGCACCAGCGAGCTTGTTCAGATTGCCCCGAACGACGAAACGGACCACGCGAGTGAGTTCGGAACGTCGATTTCAGTTGGGGAAGGCGCTCGTTGCACCACAATTTCGCATGCGGGCTTAAAATATGCAGATTATCATTTTTTTTGCCCGATCAACGAAAAAAGTGGTCCAGATGATCCCGAATGATTCCGAACGACGAAAGAGACCACGCGAGCTCGTCCGGAATGTCGATTTCACTTACAAGGGATGTTCACTTCGCTACGGCTTCGCGGGCAGGGTAAAAATGTGAGAATTATCGTTTTGGGAACAATCATCGAAAAAGTGGCCCAAACGACCCCAAATGAATAAACGGGCTCCGTCAATGCGTCCGGAACATCGATTTTAACCAAGAAGGACGTTCACTTCACCGCGAGGATGTATACGGTTGAAGAATATGTGAACGATAGTTATAATAATATAATAATAGTTATTATTATATAATATAATATTATA